TCGAACATCGATCCATCATACTCGTCACCGGAAACCGCCACCTCGACCGATTGCCAGTTCACCAACATGCTGTGCGTCAATCTACAGTAAAGTTTCAGCACCACCCCCAAACCTATGTCATTGCATCTGGACATCCTTATCCTCAGCACCTCGAATCGCTATATCAAAAAAGAACACCGTTGTCCTGAAATGGCCCTGAGTGGCAACACGGAAAAGACAGGACGGACACATCCATGATTGGACAGATTGACCCACACACAGAAAGTGGAAGATCATTGATCATCCCTTATTGTTCTGCCGTTGTTCTATAGAATTCCCGCAGTGGCTAAACACGGCACTTGAATTCACCGGTGACACCTGTCGCCGCTCCTGATCATCAGCACCAAAGGCTAATTCCGTCCATTCTGTCGACCGTAGTCTGTCCTGAAATGGTCCTGAGTAGCACCTAAAAAGCACGATAGCGACAAACTCTATCTTTCAGGGCTTCCGTGATATTTGAGCAAACATCCATTGAGTTGAGGTGAGCTAGCATGCTTGCGCACATAGAGGAGGCGTTGATGATGAAGCTGCGGAAGATTTGCCCCCTGCTAGCTGAGAAGCCACTTCAAAAAATAGCCCCTGCCACTTCCCCTGCCATGAACATCTCCAGAAACCTCCTCAATCTCAACACATGCATCACCCTCGGCCCTTGTTGGGATTGATTCCAGCAAAGAAGAAAAATAAAACACGTACCTAGATCGACATATGGCCACTTGCCCCACGTCCGGTGCCATACTGCATGATCCCACCAAATCTATCCAAATCTCCTGAAACACGCGATGGCCAGAGCCATGCTAATTTCTGTTCCATGAGGACTCCTGATAAAACCCAAGGTCGCCTGAAACGAAGAGTCAATACGATCATGTGGGTGATCTCTGCAACACCCACCACAATGTATGCAGTCCATTTAGTGGGGCTCTGACTGATCAAAGTGACTCTTCCAATGCAGGACTCTTCAAATGAAGGGACACATCCACGATCGGCAAGATTGACCAACACACAGGAAGTGGAAGTCCTCAAGTCAGTTGTTCTATAGGGTGTCAGCTTTGGCAAAACACCTTCACCTGTTCCTTGGTCTCCACCTTCAAGCTCCCGATTTGCATCACAACGTTCTCCCGATTTGATGCCTGTAGCGTTCTGTTCACGCGACACACAAAAAAACATCCACAGTTGAGCAGATTGCCCCAAGACACTTGATATCCGCAGGAAGTGGAAGTCCTTTTTATCATCCACTAATGTCCTGCGGTTGTTTTAGCTACCAGTGTGATGTTGCGTCCGCTTAACCCGCACATGTTCTCAAGGTTCAGTACCACCGTTGCTGCCCAAACCCTTGCTGCACCTGGGAATCCTTATCATCAGCCCCTTGAACTTCTGCACCAAATAGCATAAACATGCATAAACAAACTCTTGTTGTCCGACGGATCAACCAATGTCCGAGGAAGCCCGACGATTGCGGATCGGCCCGACGAATGGCAGCGGAAATTTCTACAATACCTTTCAACAACCTGGAATGGCTGATGTGCGAATGATGTTGGAGCAAACAGCCATTAGCTTAATGTGAGTGAGCATCGTTGGGTCCTCCTTGGGTATTGCAGTTGAAGCTTTGTAAGGCTTATCCATATATAAGTAGATTTCGTTGCGTTCAGGGGTTATAACTTTGCAATCAGGGGTTGGTATCAGCTGGCTGAAACATGAGGGAGGAAGACTTATGGACCTGATGCCGTGTACAATCAAGCAAAGGGATGGGGCAATCGTCGCTGCCATGTCGAGATGTCTGAGAAAAGACTACAGTTACTCGGCAGGTTGAAACAAAATGCATATGGACATTGGTCTTGACATGTTACATCTTGTTTGATTGGATCCATTTCAAGGTATTTGAGATCGTTGAGTGTGGCAAAGCCTGACACTGGCACTGGCTCTGCTGTTGTTCCTGAAGGGAATAAGCGGCTAGCTTACCTTCGAAGTTTGGGGACTCAACCACCAGAGCCAGAACCAAGTCCTGCAGAACCCTCATCCAAGGTTGAGTTTTCTTTGGAGTCATTGGTTCTTTACAAAGACCGACACGTTTTGGAAAAGGAACTATCAGCTGCATCTGCTAGCAAGAGACAGGTTGTGGATACCTCACGACCAGCCTATGATGGTCGCAAACGAAAACTGTTTGCGAAGAGTGTAGAGAGAGTCTCGTGCCTTGCAAGGATTAGAATGGAAAGTGTTGTAGATTGTTTTTTCTATGTTTGCACCAACTAGTAGGTAGTGGCTGTGGTACTGGTCCATTGTTGTGCAGTGAGGCAAGTGCAGAATGGCCTTGACAAAGACAGGATCGACAGACTGACAGGAATGACATGCCGTTGTGGCAGGGGCAAATGCTTTGGTGAGTTCAGGAAGATCCTGGACAAATTGATGCAATTCCTCAATATTTTTTGGAACTTGTCCAAGACATTTCAGGATGAATATGTGAATTGGCCTGACTTCAATTCCATTTGATGCTGTTGTTGTATGCTTCAGCACGTGCTCTCACTGTACTGTTTGTAGCCATCCATGTTTGTTAATAAGGTGAGGAGCTGCGTTGGCAATCCTGACCGATCATGCCGGCGGGAATGGACCCTGCTTGGTGTACGAGCTTCCCCGAAGTGTGTGGCGGCCTTGCTGGGAGTGGGCAATGAGAGGATCGGGCGGCTGATGTCAGGCCAAGTGGATCACAGGTACAACATTTGGGGTGGTGTATCTTGATGTCAGTTGGACATACTGACCCATTTAAGAATTTAAGTTTGCGATATTCAAGAAACAACAGCAGAATTGGGATTGCTGAGGCACTGAAACGGACACCCTACAAAGCGATGGCAGTGGACCAATACCTCCTGAATATATATATGTCTGCAGCAGGGATGCTTCCGACAGAGTATCTCAGATTGGTGGAAAGTTTACGATTCTTCAACATAAACCAGGCAGCTGAAAAGACATGACATGCATATTGTGTTTTGAAGCTGAGGTTCAGAAGGCCTGGGCGCAAGCGTCGAAAAGCTGAGAAAGAAGAGAAGGATCCTATGGTGGTGTCATTGGGAGACCATGGAGAAGAGTTTGACAGCAGCTTGACCAAATATTCTGAAATGATCTGGAGGTGATTGGAAAGCTGATGAGTTCCTTAATTTTGTGTTTGTGCATTCAGGAGACTCTGGTTCTGCCAGCGACTCTGGTTCTCATTCTGGAGACACCTTGGCCTTGCCAGAAGAAAGCTTAGAACAAGACCGTGAGCTTGAATTGCACATAATGGGTTTGCACAGCTACTATACCCAGCATGACGGCTGTGCACATGGTGCAATTTTATATTTTGTCACAACCATGGTGCAATTAATTATGTACCAAGTGTCAGTCAGAATGTTATTCCGTTCTCAGGTACATTGAAACCAACTGGGGTCGTAGTGTGGGGGAGCTTCCATCTCGATGGCTTCCCCCAACCACGATAGCAATGTTGTGGTGGGAGATGAAGCAGGTCACAGGGAGTGACGTGTCGTAACTTAGTCGCATTCTTGTGTTTGAAAGGGAACTATACTATAGACAGTACATGCTAGCTCAATACTCTTTTCAACATAAGGTATATGCACTTCTGGCGCCAGTTCCGCTCCAAGTGGGCACGGGTGCTACGATTCTTACCACCCACAGATCACTCAGCATGCGATGACTGCGTCGCATACAAGGAACTTTTTGCAGAGGCAAGAGATGCTAGAACCAAGTTATGATGCCTCAATCATGTTGGTTATAGGATTTTATAGGAGTCTGCTTTTTCATGCTCATCTAAGGATGATGCAACACGGTTGGATCTGGCAAGAGGGTACAAAGCCCATCTTGACCATATCCGAGAAGATCGAGCGTTAGAGGAATATCTCCAGAAACTGGGGCCATTAAATGCACCTCAGGGCCAGGGATCATGCATGATGATCCACATAGTGTCTCGGTAGCGGAACAACACACCACAACCCTGTTGGCATGTTGTGTTGTGACATTGTTCAATGATGTTCAATAAGGATGGAATGGATCAGGCCAAATGGGCTATTCCAAGGCAAAAAAAAGCACTGGTGGCTAAGAGTCTGTCAGGCTTTCAGAAGCCAAGGTTCAAGGTGGAGGGTGTTTGGGTACACAATGCCTTGTTGGCATTGTGGATCGTCGATAGCCGGGTACCAAGTGACTCCTCCATGGTGATAGAGACACTATCACGATCCATACAATTGGTGGCGACTGAATGTGAGAGACGAGGGAAGGACTTCCCACAGCAACTTTGCGTGTGGGTTCTTCGGACAGAAGATGACAGAATATTTTCCATCAGTTTCATTGTTTTTGATGTCACTTCCAACCAATTCACCTGCAGTCAGTGTTGTCGGACATGCCCAGGCGGACAATTGCGTTCGGGAGGCAAAGAATGCCATGGTGATCAAATTTTTATCCATGCTGCTGACACAGACTCCTTTGAACCTGACCTCGTTGCTATTCAGCAAACGAGGTCACACACACAATGCCCTTGGACACTTGGTATAACAATGGGAAACCTGTTGACACTGAATGGCAGGGGTTACATGATGTTATCATGATGTTACATGCTTTTGTTTGTTTCTAGAGTTTCAGCCAACTGAGACCAAATATATGGCATCATCGCTACATGCTTCAAGTACATATCAGTACTATGTGATGAGACTGATGTGGTGGAGCCAGGCCCTAAGAATTGTTTCACCTGACAAGCAGCCATACAAAATAACAATGTGCATATCGTTGTGGGTGTCTAGTCCCTGAGGAAGTTGACTGACATTCTCGAGCGAATCAACATCAAGAGTTGGATCGGCAAAGATGCAACGATCCACATCGAATATATAAACGGAGTTCGGGATTGGAAAACCTGGTTTCTTGACTCTTGACCTTTAAATCTCTAACCTGAACCTGATTTGCAACAACTGCAGTTCTTTTCTCAACCGCTCTCTTCTCGTGAGGCTGTCAGCTGCTCCAGTGTCGATGAGGGGTGGCCTGAGAGATGATGACACAGGGGTGCACTGTTTTTTTGATGCTACGGCGACAAGGCACTGTAACAGAGTTGGTAACAAATTTGCAGTTTGTACTTAAAGGTGTGCTAATCCAATCTTTGTGTTCCCTGAGATCTTCCACAGACCGTCCAAGCGAACATATTGAAGTCTGGTAAAGCAGCTCCTCTTCTCCCTGACCATCCTCTTGACATCATTGGCCTTTTGAAACGAAACGCCAGTGATGATCATCTTTGCCAGGCACATGAATGGAACACAGTGTTTGCTACGGAGTTGCTTGTTACATGCCCCAAACATGAAAAAGTAAATCTGACTATGTTCGAACCTGTCAGGAAGCATTGCTATTTTGGCCTCATCGCTACACTGCCTTGTTGGGGCCTGTGCCCACTGTCCCGCGCCCATTGAAGCTTGTGAAGGCCAATAAACGGAAGGACTATTTGAAGCTTGCTGAGGTGCTTTTGGAAAGAGCACCCAATGAAACCACACGTCGTTCTGTTGAGTTCCTCCTTCGGACCACTGATTCGAACGCTCAACCTGAGCCAGTTCCCCCACTCCCATGGTTGGTGAGCCCTCCTCCTGCTGATCGAGTGGCAGGCTTGCCAAGGCTGGTGGGCAGAATTGCCCCTGCCATGCGGTTTCACGCTGAGCATAACCTAGGATGACAAAGGGTGCCCTCCATCCTTTTGTTCAGTTTCTTGCAAGAGCAAACCAATCGCATTACTTTCACAAGTGGATCATAGGCTCAGCTGGGTAAAGGCTTTCCGTAGGAAGTGTGCTTCCCTGCTTGGATGCTAGCAGCCAGGCAAGGACCTTTAAACCAGGGACCCATGTGTTTTCCCTTGGCCTTTCCAGGCAGAACCACCATGTCCCTGAGGGTGAGGCTGGCCAATCATAAGACAGGTCTGGAAATGAAGTGGCCTGAGTGAACAAATCTTGAGGAGCGGGAGAAGGTCGCAAAGCATGTCCAGGAGCGTGTATTCAATCCAAGATTTATGTTCACCCGCCTTCCTCTTTCCAGGACATGCTAGACCAAGAAGACTCTCAAGTGGATGATATGACTTTTCAACAGGCTCATCATTTCTTCTCACACATGTCACTGTGTCTAACATGTCATGTCATGTGTTGCTGAATCATGCTGAATCTCTGCCAGATGGTGGATTGGTATCCATTTTGGCCACCACCGCTGAAGACAGAGGACAGCCTAATGTTCAATTGGGTCCAATGGTGTTTTGCAAGCCAGGACACTTCAAAGAACCGAAAAAAAAGAAAACGACATGAGGAGGCCTGCTGCTGTTTCCAGATTTGGGCTCCCAGCAACCACACTTCCGCTTGACATGCTGCGGTCAGGCCAAGGAAAGCGTGATGGAGCCTTAGGGGCAGTGATAGGTGCTGCGTCAATTAGCTGGGGCCACATGTTCTTTAATGTGTGACAGGCTGAAAAGTGTGACGTCCTTTGGAGCAAGTGACAAGTTAGAAGCAGTCACATAGTTTCACAAACATGTGTCTCCAGGTTCAACTTTTTGTTGGCTCAAGGGGCGCCAATAATTCCACGTGTCCATTGACCAGGCTCACTCAGGATGGTCTGTTTGCGGGACGCTGTTAGGAGGGCACTTGAAAGCTGTCCAAACACTTCCAGGACCTGTCAACTGCTGCAAGTGCATTTACTAATACTACCCAGTCAGCAATGGCACAGAATTCAACTGTTGCACAAAAACAATGGCAGGAAGCATCCCCGGAAGGCAGTGGTCAAGAAGACTGTCACCAAAAGGCGTACCCACAAGTTTGTGGCTCTGTAGTAAGGATCACTTATTCACCCTGACTCGCACAGGCGCTTCTACCCGAAGACGAATGTGCCGATACCCACCAACTTGAAGCCATGCTTTCGCTCAGTGATCTCAACATACAGCTGGGCTGAAGTGTTCCTGATGAAGTTGGCAAACAAGTGGGGGGATGCATGGCTGGTGGAGAAATTAACTCTATGGGCTTGGGACCTCTCGACTTCGTTTTCGGGCATTGGATGTGCAGAGTCAGTAGGGTACCCAGTCTGAGCCAACTTTCCAATCCCATGTCTTCATTGAGTCCAGATCTCTGTACCTCAGGCTGCTCTGAGCCTCCAGGCAGCAAGCCGTGAGTTCCTCTCCAGGCGTTTGAGGAAACATGCACTTGGAAACCCTGTCAATTTGACCAGCAGTTGTGAGATCGACAAGGATTGCCAGAAGGTGTTGAGGAACACCTACGGTCACTGCAACTGGGAGGATATCACCACTGTCGACCCAGCTAATTGGACATGTTGGTGCACCACTCACAAGAAGCACTGTGAAATTCAGCAAAGCTACAACCCTGACCGTCCCTCATCTCAACAAAGTGTGCATATTCTGAATTTCCTCCAACCCTCAATTGTCCCCCTCCAATCCCCTCCTCTTCCAAGGCAAGAAAGTGAATGTGGCAGGTTCAGAACTCAGGTCCTCCAGGAATGATCCGTCTCCTAACTGGTTGAACCTTTTCTTGTGAGTCTTTGTTGTTGAAGACATTTTTACTTAGGTCCAACATGTGTGTCGTTCTCGATGATGGGCAAGCGTGAAAGGGAGAAGTCTTCGCAGTTCATTCTTCACCAATCCTACTTTGAAAAGTTTGCACCCTCACAAGAGATACTGTTGCTGGAAAACGTGACGGAATACAGTGAAGCACTTGTCCTCCAGTGCCTCAACAAAGGTCATCCAGGTACCTGGAAGCTGACATCAGTGAGGCTGGACCCACGACTGCTGGGCATGGGATGTGCAAGGGCCAGAGTTTTCATGGTTGCCTATAGAAAGAATGAGTACGCCTGGACCAAAAAGTTCACCCTTCAGCAATTCGTGGAGTGCCTGTGCTCCCAGCCCACCATGACCTTTGATAGCTACTTTTGGTCCAAAAAAACTTCGGACGGCAAGTTGTCATCCAGTGAGGAGCCATGGCCATTGTCGGAATTGTCATGTAAGAGGGACCATCTCTGTCTCAAGTTTTGCAAACTTTAAAGTCAAAATTGACAGAAATCCAATCCAAGGAGAAAATCTTGAAGGCCTACCAGAAGCTGGACAAGTTCAAGCTGGTTGACTTGAATCAATCCCCTGCTGCCCAACGGGGTCGAGGCAATACAGTGGATGGGTCCCTACCGACCCTGACCACAAATAGTGGCAGGTTATTCCACCAGGCAAGGTCATGACTGTCATTATTTTAAGCCAAGCATGAGCCAACCTACCTCAGAGACTCAGTGTATCAATCCACCCCTCCTTCCAAGGCGCGCTCCAGGATGCTTTCTCCAGAGGAGATGTTGAGCAGCCACGTTCTGCCTGTGACAAGTGCACAGGCGCGCAAGGCACGTGCTCCGAAGCTGAGGATGGATGGTGTATGTTTCACATCAAAGGTGCGCATGGCAGGCAATGGTATGAACCTGCCATGCATCGGAGCACTTATGCTCGGAATCATCACTGGGCTGGAGGAGTTGTGAACTTCAAAATTTGAAACAATTCAGCCCAGACTTGCTGAGCTGGGTAGTAATTAGAACATGTAGCATAGAGCACGACGCTGGCTACTAGAAACACTGAGTGATTTTTGAGACGTTCAAATTGGGTCAGAAAACCATGAACCAATGAGTTGTCTTTTAATATGCATTACTTGCGCAGGGAATTTTGATTTCAAGGCTGGGCAGGTTTCCTGGCCTCTGTCTCGCCTGGCCCGGCGGACAATGGGCAAGCGGGCTACCAGTTCCAAGGCCTCAGTGAGTAGCAAGGCACACCGGCTCAGCCAACCATGGGCAGATCTGATCGTGGAAGAAGCCAGGTGCTACACCATGCAGTTATAGACAGTAAGTAATAGATAGTACAGTCTTCCAAGTCACCTTCTGATAGAAGCAGTTATTTTAAACTCAAGGGACACTGCTTCTTTCACAGTGTCCCAAGGTGCTTTGATGCTAGCAAGGACGAACATCCGGCAAAGTTTATCATCGAGAACTTGTCTGAGGGTATTTGTGAAGGGTTGAAGACATGGCTGAATGAGATCTGCGGGGATCTCTTTGAAGAGCCTGCCAGCTTCAAATTACCAGTAAATCAGTTGCATTCCAGCTTCTGCGTCTTGTTTCTAAATCTGGTCTGGGTCTGGACCAACTGAATTTGATGTAAGGACACCAGTCACCAGATCGTAGAGGTGCCACTCCTTGCCATCCGCTACACTAGGCCTGCAGATGGCTGGCCACTTCTGCAGGAATGGCTCAACAATCTTCTGGACATTGTGCGTGGAGGATATGAGGGGGCAAGAGAACCGTTGGAAATCTACAGTAAGGACAGCAAGGTAGGTTTCTTGTCAATCTCCGTATCCAAAGGATTGGGCAGGCTATCCATAATTTGGTTTGCGGTTCTGGTCAGCTACTTCAAGCTGCGAGAGAGACTTGTAGACGACTCTGAAATCAAGGACGACTTTCGCAGGCCAGGCTGGGATATTCTGGGGGGACAATCTGGGTCGCCTTTGGAAGACACAAAACCTCAAAGTTCCAAAGGTGATGGTTTCATTGAAACCGTCGCCTTTGGACAAATCCCAGTCATACTTGGGTTAGACTAGTCTATCCGAGCCCATGAATCAAATTTCCTGGGGGGACAATCTGGGCCTGTTCGTGATGAGGGAACTGTTTTTAATTATATTGGGGGCACATTGTTTGAAGCTTCCAAAGGTGATGGTTTCAATGAAACCGTCGCCTTTGACCCTTGGCCAATTTGGACCAACCAAAGGTGACGCAGAATGTCCCGGCCAATGAAAGTTGATGTCCCTTCATCAAATTGAAATTGATGTTGGCCAAACGGTATGCCCAGGGAAAGAAGTTGAATTTTGGGTTCAATTGCCACCCCATGTCACAATTGTGTGAACCCTTTGCCCTGTAGTACAACAATACCAACTTCAGAATAACCTCCACAATCTCCAGGGGGTGTATCACAAGTTGAGTGTAGTATATAGACTGACCTTAGTGAAACCCCAAACCATAGCCACCACCTCAACTGCTCACACTGACCTGCAGCTTGCTCCAGGTGGCTGAAATCTGTGGCTACCCTCCAGGCAGTGCGGATGTTCCCAGATGCTGAGTTCAACCTGGAATGGCGCAGAATTCAGTCCCATGAACAACAAGCTGAGAGAAAGAAAAAATCGATCATCCAAAAGGCTATGGTGTTTGGGGCGAGGGCCTCCCAGCTAGTTGATCAGGAGACTTTGACATGAGGATATGACAATATGCAATTGTTTTGGAATGACTTGCACGTCCCCCTACCAACCTCCATATCAAATGTCAAATGTGTTTGGTTTTTTCAGGAGCCAACTGTGTATGGAGGAGGAGAAGCTGGCTACCGTCAAGCTTTTTTGGATGGAATTCACGAGTACAACAAATTCGGAGCTGCGGCTGCCAACCAGCGATACCGAATTGAAGAAGCTGAAGCCCTCACCCTATTCGGATTCAAAGCTTCTAGTTTGCACTTTGACCTCAACTGAATCCTTGAGGTTTGACATGTCTCCTTCTGGACTCCAACCCATGACCAAGTGAATCATTTAAGGTGGGTGTATGTCCAGAAGCCTGGGCCCTCATTGAACGTCATCTTCATGAGTATCGAATGGAAGCCTCAGGCCACAATGGGGTGTTGTAGGTGTGCTGACAGTTGATCATGAGTAAGCTGTGTGTGATCCTGCAACCTGGAATTCAACATGACTTCCAATTTGTCCATTCCAGTATTTGGCAACCCCAAAGTTTCAATCAGACCGGCCTGCCGCAGCTTTCTCCCGGGAGATGCTGGTCGACACGAGATGGCTCCTGGAAGGTGTTGCCAGGACAAGTAGTGACCGATGGCATGGTATATTGAGTGTGAACTCAATCAAACAGCATGCTTTCATGGAGCGTGTCCTCTTTTGTCACTCCCTGGCTATCAAGCGAGGGTGCAAGGGGTCTGTGGCTCGGCTTTCACTTGCCGAGTGGTCCCAAGAATGTGACAGGGTTTGCCTGGCTGTTGACATTCTAACAGACATGTCTTCAGAATACAAAGCGGACGGAAAGGACTTGTTCGACCCCGACACCATCACCAAGTTGAAGAGACGTTGCTTAGAAGGGTGCCCTAGCCATGTTTGTAAGTCTGCATGTTTCATGTTTTGCTGATATGAGAGGTTGATGTGTTTTGAAGGTGGCAGTTATTCACGGTCGCACAGCCAGGGACTACAACAACGAGCTGAATGAGATTCTGGATCTGAAGGATCCTAGTTTCAAGGCCTTCCACTCGCAGCTTTGGCAGGAACATGCTCCGGACATCAAAGAGGAAATCAAGGCTTTCTCTTCAATTGACTCCAAAATCAATGAGTTGGGGAAAGAAGCTCGGGAGGCAGCTTATCAGCGTGACAGGGTTTTGCTGGCTAAAGACCTGGCAAACGTGGGGAGACTATACCAATTGGTTGTGAAAAACCAGAGGGCTTCAAAGATGAACAAGATCCTCCATTGCAAAGCACAGAACACTATTGGGGCCAGTATTGTGAGCAACTGGATGCAAGAGAACTGCCAATTTCGTTGTGGGAAACCAGGGGATCTGGACTTTGCTGTGGACAAGGACTGGCTTGTCGCATGCAATTTAAGCTAAGCATGCAATTTAAAAGATCGACTGTAATCTGAGCTAGCATGCAATTTAATGTGCTTTTATGTTTGGCTGATCCATGCCAGTTCATCGAATCAATGTCTGGGGCCCACAATGCCTCCTTCATCGTGTGGGCCGACTTATCCAAGTGCGGCCGGCTGTCGATGGCAGAGCTTAACCAAGCAGTGGAAACAATAGGTCTTGTGCTTCAAAAAAAGCCTCTATGTTCAGTTGCAGTGGTGGTATGCCCAATTTTGCCATCGGAGCGAGTCAAGAATGGAATCCGAGGTGAGGTTCGGTACCTCAAATGAGATTACAGGCTGTTCTGTTGATTTGGTTGTCTTTCGTTTTGGTTGTCTTTAGGCTTTAGGACCAGAGTTCTTGGCAACAAGCCTGCAATGTTTCAATGAGATTTGTCTTCATAATACTGAGTCGGATTGAAGGCAAGCTGGACGCTCGGAACCTCTACAGCATCAGCTTCTCAATCCGAATGGAGTGTGCACCTGCTACAAAACGGGTACCACTTCAGTTTCCTGCATGGATCGTGTACCACGAAGACACCATCACAGACAATTGTTTTCATGGTTGCCAATTGGCCAATGACAGGCATGGGTGCCTTTGGGCATTATCACCGTCAAAACATACAAACATGTTCCCTCCCACCGACAGCTGTCCTTGGCGCCAGGTGCACCAGAGACCTTATTCCGTGGGCAGCAGAGAGCAGCTACGTGATCCCTGTCTGTGAAAAGGATGGAGTGTGTCACGCATCGGAAGGTAGAAGGCTGGGTCCCAATCAAATTCACCATAATTCACCTTTTAGTGACTGTCTGTACCAGAAACCGTTGTTCTTTCTTTGAGTCATGCAAACTCAAAGTATGGGACAGTTCTTGTGCCAGGGCACTCTCCGACGTCCAGGAAAGCGCACAGTTCTTAGCAGGTGAAGCCTTTCCACAAGAAGTGTTGAGATCCCTGTTGGCCAAGAGTTCACTTGCCACACCCCATGTGGGGGTGATCAATACAACTCCATATGAGGGTCATTTGGAGCAAGCATGTCTGCATTGGAAAGGCCAAGGGCAGACCCTCAAGACTCTGTCTATCTCAACGAAAACCACCATTGTCGAGTATTGCGAGCAAACCATTGCAATGGAACTCCTGGAGGACAGTGTTTTAATCAGGTTGCTATTTTTGTTTATCTTCTGCTACTCTTTGACAAATATTGCAACAATGAGAACAACTGGTTTGGTCAGTTTCGTCCTAGTCATGAGTTTGTCCACCAGGGCTGGAAGACCAACTCCCATTGCATGGGTGCCTCTGTCCGGAAGTATGACCCAACTCCTCCTGAGATTGAAGAATCTGTGGATGTTGACAAGTTCAACTTCCAAATGATCAAGGTCGACAAAGTTGCAGGGAAGCAGGGCTGGGAGTCTTTTCGATTCAATATCCCACCAAATATCCGCGCTTTGCACGAGAGCGATGTGATCTGGGGGTCTGAATGGCGGCAGCTTTTGCTTGACTTTGACCAAAAGTTTCTTTGATTCAACATGTTGCAGGGGCTGCCAATTCAATGTCATTCCTCTTGCACTACATAATATACAAAAAATACTTGCCAAAACCATGTTGCCTAGGTTTGATTCCACTTCAGCGACACCCAGCCCACCACCAACTGACGCAGCTATGGTCCCCTGCGAAGAGTCAGCTGAAGAGACAGGTCCAACCTGGGTCGAACCCACAACTTTGAAGGAACTCAATGACGCATACGTGTTGGAAGCCAAACTGGCAGGCAAGAGTGCAGGCACCAGCCTGTATGTAGTGCCGTCAAGCCGTCGAGATGGGACAACAAATGATGTACAGGAACGGCAGTCTTTCAAGCTATTTCTTGTAGCTAGGTTTTGCAAATTCAAGCTAGGGTTCCTTCTGTCAGGAATAGGTCTGAAAGAGCTTGTTGTTGTATATCATGTTGTCAGATCCTGTGAGTCTGAACTGAGGTAGCGCACACAAATGTCGAGATCAGCTCCCAGGATCTCCAACTGGGCCATGGCGGATCGAAGTTCCTCAATGCAGACAAGGTCTCCAAGCTGAAGCGTGAACAATCACAAGGCAGGGGGCTGCCCTAAGTGGTGGTGTGACTTTCATGCGTTCTCCACAACATGTTGGTGGACTCTGATACTTCTGGAATCTTGTGACCATTATATAGAAGAGATTGACCTGAGCAGAGATTGTATTAGGAAAACCCTGACCATGATTGGGTGTTATTCCTTTTAGGCTCTCACTTGTCAGTTCACACTGTGCACAGTAGCCAGTGAAAGTAGACCCAAAGTCTGGCGCACATGTCGGCGTTGCAATCTCTTCTTGCTGAGTGCGGCTTCAACAAGGACTGGTGTGTGCCTTTATTAAAATCAAACATGTGCAAAAACAATGTACAGGCTGTACAGGTGACCTTACTATACAATGCAGTAATCACTGCTAGACAGGACTTCGATGCGCTGATGAAAGCAGATGCATCCCTGATTACATCACCCCCTGCCCAGGCCACTTGCTGCTTTCTAGATTCCCTGTTCAGTCACATATGTTGCGCTTGACTTTGAATCCTTCAACTTCCTATAAACTTCAGTTTTGCCTGGTGTGCATTGTTGACAGGCTACATCAAGCCCCCCCTACTTCAGCAGCCTCGGGCCTGAAAAACTCAGCCCCAAGGGCAACAGTTTCTGAAGAGAAGAGTTCAGCTTCGAAGGTGCGCACACACACATTAAACACACTCTAAACTCTAGATAATGTCCAGTCTCAATTCCACTACTTATTGTGCTCACTTGCTCCTTTCATCTCATGTCAGGTACCGAAAGAGAAGCTTCCGATGTCCGCTCTTCAAAGCAATTCAAACAACAATCCTCAGCTGACACCAGAACAGAAGGATGCACTGCATGACAAGCTCAAGCAAGCAAAGCGCAAAGCGCCCAAGGGAAAGTCAAAGGAGAAGGAATCTGATGGAGAGGACGAAGAAGAGGAAGTGGAGGAAGAGGAGGAGGAGGAGGAGCAACCGAAGAGGAGCCGGAGGAAGCTGACAAAGAATGGAAAGAGTGGATCTGACCAGGCTGACAATGCAAAGGAAGAAGAGGAACACGAGCCCAAAGGCAAAGGGAGAAAGTGTAAGGGGAAGGCTGCAAAGAAGAAGAAGGAGAAGGATCAGAAGACTCACAAACAAGCTGCCAGAGAGAAAGCAGTGGAGGCAGCGAAGGCTCGGATCAAAAAGAATGAGACTGAGGAGCTGACTGCTGCCTCGGAAAGCAAATCAGAGTCGAAAACAAAGGATAATGCCAAGAGATCATCAACTTTGAGTTTGAAAGATGCAGCCAAAGCAGCCACCTCCAACATGGAGAAGGAGAAGGGAGTCAGTAAGCGAAGGGGTCGAAGCCCAAACAGCCTAGTAAGGAAGAGGCCGGGGTAGAGCCTACAGCTGCTGCAAAGGTTCAGAAGGAACAGAAGAAGAAGAAGCCGGAGCCAAAGAACGAAGAAGTTGATGGGGGCCTGGAGGAATCTCAGCTGGCCCCACCCAAAAGGCAGAAGCGGAAAGATCCTGTGATCAGGAAGCTTGACTCAGAGTTCGAGGCTGAGGGTGCAGAGGAGGATTGTGACAGTGATTCGAATGCCACCACACTGGTCTTGGGACAGGAGGAACCTAAAAGGAAAACAAGGAAGCCACGAAACCCCAAAGAACAAGCTCCTGTTAAGGCTGGGAGTCAATGTGTGTTGATGTGTTCATTGTCATCATGTGTCATGTGTTCTTGTCACTGTTCAGTTGTGTCATATCTTCATCTGTCAGGGAAATGGAAAGAATAAGAAGGAAGCGGCTGCTGTCGAAGAGAAGGAAGATGAGAAGGAAGAGGAGGAGGAGAAGGAAGAGGAGGAAGAGCAGGAAGATGGAGAGACAAAAGATGAGGAGGTGGAGGAAGATGAAGAAAATCAGCCTGTGCCCAAAACGAAGGCAGGGCATGTCCGTGTCACTTCGACATCCTTAATATTGGAAAGATTTGGAATGGTTCATTGTGAAACAGCTCAGTCTTCATTTAGCCTTAAGTCTTGTGCTTGGCAGGGTGGTGCTGCTGGACTGGTTGGGATGCGCAAGAAATACTATGATCATCTTCGTGATTGCTCAGCACAGCTTGCTGCTGATTTCCCGGACTGGACCAAGAAGGAAGTGATGGTAGAAGCCCGTCGCAGGCACATTTCATAGTACACCTACCTGAGACCTTTTAACCATGATGGCATCATGAGGATGTTGTGTTCTCATGTTTGATCCATTTGCACCAAATGTCCAACCCCTGACATCAGGTGGAGGATTCACCCAGACAGGCTTGACACCATCAAGTTGATGTCCAAGTCTGAGATCAGCCGACGGCGTTTGAAGACTTATGTTTCCAACCCCGCTGAGCCTGAGATCCCAGCCACTCAGCAAGAATCTTCATCAGCACCAAGTGCGCCTGCAGAGCCAGAGCTGGCATCGGAACCAAGTGCATCTTCTGCACCCTAAATCCCATTGTCTGGCACTGACTGACATGTTTTAAGTTCTGCTAGGCATCCAGGAAAAGGTTCCTTTTGAATTGATGATTGATGCATTGTTCCAGGTAGTATGTTCCATGACTGTGGCCCCAAAGCAATGCCAGGGAGTGTGAATGCACATCTTCCATAGCGGTGTTGCTTTCGTAGGGCATCAATAGCCAGCCATTGGGTGCACTTTTGCGGGGCAAAGACACTAGACCTGTCTGTTTGGAGAAATGACCTGAAAGAAACACAGTGGACAAACATCCCTTGTGGATACAGCAGGTCTGAGTGTGAAAGTCTTTTCATTAGGGGTTCACAAAGTCTTTAACCATTAGGTCATTAGGTGAGCTTGGGAAGCAATGAGCTCAAACGATATGAAGCGGCAAAAAGAAGTCGTCCTGATGTCAGTGCACCACATCCAACACTGTCACCAACCCACCAACCCTGGTTGCTCCCATTTCCCGGTTTTTCACCTCAGCCTGGCCAGGCGAACTGGATCGAATCATGATCTGCTCCTGGACGAGTGATGAGGACCAAGTGGTGTTGGAGATCCCGGAGGAAAACTCGAAACAAACCATTGATGGTGAAAAATGTAGCCTACGTGAGCTGATCGATGAGTTGTCCCAAACAGTTTCTGACTTTACCATCAACTGCCATGACCTGGTAAAGCCATCAGCAGTGGGAGACAACAGTGATTGTCTCAGGGGTGTACGAAGAATGAACATTTATTTCAAAGTGACAAGGTCTGAGTTGTTGTGCCCACTAGGTGTAGCAAAAACATTCCTGCTGGCTTAGGTGATGAGGCAGCATGGCACTACACAATCAAACCGAAGCCACAGCAGATCTTTTTTGCCTGGAGTTTGCCGGCAAACCTCAATTCTTTGAAGTATACATCAGTAGCAAGCGCCTTCAACACCAATGTTTCTCAGCACGAACTGTTGATGTTGACCTATTATCAAACTATGTCAATCACCCTGATGCTGACGCTCCTCCTCCAGCCGAGGCCATTGAGGCTTCACAAACATTGTGCCGGGCGTGGCGTGTATTCTTGAAGAAAGAAAGCAAGGACCTTCTCTAGGCAAATGCCTGACAAATGATCTGCTGTTTTGTACTAATTTTTATTGACATTGAACAGTTGAGCCAGGAGTTGGCACCTCGAAGCTTAGCTGTAGTCTTACCAAACTATGTTTCGACAAGATTTCTTTTACTTTGATAGGATGGCAGCTTGAGCTCAAGCCCAGGAAAGCCACTCTATTTCTTAAAGAAAGACCTTACGATGTCTGATGGAGATTGCATCAGGCTGATTTGAGCTGAAGCTCGAAAGCCTATAGCCTATAGCCTAAAGGATTGGCACCGAAGCATGGACTGCTCGGATGGGAGAAAAATGGCCAACGGGGCACAGTGCTGCTTCAGTGCGTTGACATGTCCAACATGTTTCCAACACACCCCAGGACTAACACCTGAATACAATGTTGTATTACCTGAATACAATGAAATTGACTTATATATATATACATAACTACAGTAATCATCTCACAAATCTTGCGAGCAAACACGCACATGCACGGGCGTGACTATAATGGATAAGCCACAAGAAGAGAAGGCATTTCAGGCCCCGAGTTCGGCTGCCGTTCGGCCGGGGCGTTGGTGAAGGGAGCGACCGTTCTGCCGAACGGAATGACCGTCCTGACGAACCCGATTCCATCACCGGAGACAGGAGACATGTCCTCTTCCCACGGAATCGCGGGGTAAGTGGTCGACCCCTGGCCGATGTGAAATAGAAGACCCCCCTGCTAGAAGCCACGGTCACCTGGTAGAAGCCAGGGTCACAGTCATGTCGCAGCTCTCTGGGCCCGCAGCTCGGTCTCCAAGGAGCGCTCGAAGTTCCAGGAACGGTCTCAAGAAGAACGGGATTCTTTCTCTGGGGTATACCTCTTCCCGATTTGTTGCACACATCGCTCGCTTCTCCCTTTCAGTGTCTGCAGGGCTCGGTTTTGATGATCGAACTCGGAGACTCTTCCGGGAGGTCTGCCGTGGAAGTACGGGACTCATCAAGCCCCTATTCTCTGGTGGCTGTTCTACAACTTCAACGACCAGCTAGGCATTCCACCACAGCCGTCATGTTCACCCTTCTTCGTGTTGAGGCGAAATATCAGCACCCGACAGCCGCACATAAAGGCGATCCTTGAATCCAAACGAAAAAGTACAAAACATCAACCGCTGTCTGAAGATGCCCAAGGAATGTCAAATGGTACGACAGCGTGGCACCTGAAGTACGTACGACACCCAAACTCTATCATCTCATATTTCGTGGCTTTCATGGCGCCCATTGAGTGGACGTGAGCTAGTATGCAGTATGCCTGAGTACCTAGACAAGGTGTAGATATTGAAGCTGCAAAGGACTTGCACCCATTACCAAAGAAGACACTTCATCAATTCAAGATTTGGGAGGTGTGGAAACACGGAGCACTGCACTGAAGGACACGCAAACTGGAGCACCTGCCATGCACATCTCAACTCATGCCTCCTCAGCCCATGCTTTGTTCGGATTGATTCCAGCAAAGAGGTTAACTGTTAACCAAAGCCGCTACCTCAAGATGTTGCCACTTGCCCCACGTCCGGTGCCATACTGCATGATCCCACCAAATCTATCCAAATCTCTTCAAACACGCGATGGCCGGAGCCATGCTAATTTCTGTTCCATGAGGACTCCTGATAGAACCAAAGGTCGCCTGAAAGGAAAAGTCAATACGATCATGTCGGTGATCTCTGCAACACCCACCAATGTATGCAGTCAATTTAGTGGGGCAGCTCTATGTAAAACCCTTGCGCGCCCTTGCCTTCTTCTTCAAGTTCAAGGAACGGTATCATGCGGTAGCCAGGTAGTCTTCCAGGTTTGTTACACCAAAATGTTCTCTCTGCGCCATCAATGTTTGCCTTCATCCACATTTAGCCAAATTGCCTCAAAACATACGAAGTGGAAGTCATCAAAACACATCCGCCGGTAACCTGCGGTTGTTCTACAAATTTCAACCATTGCCACACAAACCTTGCTGTTGCATTAGTCCTTATCAACTTCTGCACCAAATGACACCAAATTGACAACAAATGATTGTCTTTGTCAACCTTTGTCTGAGCATTCCCGAGGATTGACTTGGTCCTGAGTGGCACCTGAGAAGAACGAAACCAAAACACTCCATCATCTTGGCCATTGAGTTGACCTGAGTCAGCTTCCTTGGGTCCTGGGCTTTTCAAAACGAAGTCTTGGTGTTAAAGCTTTGTAAGACTTGCCCCTTGTAGATTATATAACACAAAAATCTTAGCTAGCAATTGGCGCACAGCGACTCTTGAATGGAGAAAACATGAGAAAACACTTCAGAGACAGACCCCCCTTCAAACGAAACAAACATGAAGCACTGCCAGAACCACAACAAGAGAATATTATATGACCCACAATAATAACTTTCTCGAGAAATCTGCAGCATCTTCACACCTTCGTCAAGCTTCTCCCGTTTAAATCCATCAAACTCGTCACCGGAAACCGCCACCTCGACCTATTGCCAATTACCCCCATGTCCCGTGCCATACCGCATGGTCCCAACAGAATTCCTGAAACACGCGACGGCCGGAGCCATGCTCATTTCCACTCCATGAAGACTCCTGGTAGAATCAAAGGTCAACACCATCATGTTGTTGCTCTCTGTAACACCATCAAGTGGCTTTGTCTCCACCTTCATGTTCCTAGAACGGTCTCAGGAAGAACGGGATTCTTTCTTGGAGTGGTCTTCCCGATTTGTTGCACACATAGGTTCTCCCTGTCAACGATTATAGGGTTCTGTGTGATCAAAGTGACTCTCCAAATGCAGGAGACATATGGAATAAAACAAATACCTCATGATTACCAAACCTGCTTCGACATAAAGAGAGGAAACCCCTTTCATCGACCCTACTGTCCGCTGGATATTCTACACATTCACGCAGCAACTAAACATAGTCAGTTTCACTGAATCATGCTCTCAAAGTTCTGCACCTCCATTGCTGCCCAAACCTTGTTGAAATTGTATTCCTTATCATCAGCCCCTGGAACTTCCAAAGACAGTGCCTCGTGTCAGCCATGTCAACCTCTGTCCGAGGATGTCCAACATTGCCCGGAAAATGGCTTTCATGAATTGGGCGCAAAACCAAAAGCGCTTTGAGCAGCCTTTCATGGCTTTCATGATGCGACGTCATTGAGCAGCCATTGAGTTGACGTGCTTCAACATGATCGGATTCCCTTGAGACACAGTGTTGCTAATGAAGCTGTGCCTGCCCCTCTTCCCTGAGAAAGCCCCTTGGAGTTGGGATGTGCAGCAGTGCTCTGAGCGACAAACAATGGAACCTGCGTCTCCAGAAATCTCCAATATCTCAACACCTTCATCGGATTGATTCCAACCGAGAAGTTCACCTGAAACTGGAACTGCCACCACTCGCCCAACGTCACGTGCCATGCTGCATGATCCCACACCTGAAACGCACGATGACCGGAGCCATGTTCATGTGTTTTTCATTGAGGACTCCTGGTAGAACAAAGGGCACCTGACAAGAAAGGTAACCAGTCATCTCGGAGATCACGCACATCTTCCTAGGTCTCTCTCAAGTTCCAGCATTAATTAGTGCTAAGGATAAGACTGCTAAGAGTTGAGAATGAGGATTTCTCTGGCGTAGTCTTCCTGCTTGTTGCACCTCCAAGTTCTCCCCATAAATGGCTGCGTGCAAGGGATCTGTCAGATCACCAATGAAAGCACCTCTTGATTCCTGCGGAACGCTAAGCCAAGCGGAAAAAGGGTGGTTCTTGCAAACTTCTTGACGTGATCAATCATCATCAGGACCCTGAAGTCTAAAAAAGAATATACTTTATATTCTCATACCAGGACCATCCAATGGGTGACAAATGGACTACCCTCCATCACTTGGGGAACTCCATTGGACACCATTGGATGATCCAGGTAGTCTTTCCTTTTTGAGACTTCAGGCTCTGGCTCAAAGCTCCGGTTCAGTCAGGAGCACCGTTTGTTGCCGCTCCCAGCGTCACATTCCGCCAAGCTAGACGAAGCGACATGCGCCTGTTCGCGCTTCTCGGGGTGAGCCACTCACTCCAGAACCTAAGGTCACAACACCTGTTGCTAGAGACATTCCTTCACAGTAGCTGACAGGTATGAAGATCGAGGCGTCAATATGACAACCGAGACCCTGTGATCTTGGCATGAATTGTGCAAATTACATCTTATTGGGTTTCTTGCGTGTTGCCGTTGAAGGGAGGGCATGCCCCTGTATAGGCATCACACGCATCTCGATGGCAAAGAGGTAGGGACTGAAGAAAAACAGTCAACAGGACCACCCATCTCCATCATTGGAACCCTCCTCCAAGGCATGTTTCGCGGTGATTCCATTGATGCTTGACCAAAGTATTGCCAGTTGCCTGCCATGCCATCCCGCTTCATGCCACCAAACAAAACACCCATGGTGCGATGCTTGCTTCAGCCCCATGCAAACACCTGGTTGAAGAGAATGCCACCAAAAAAGCAACGTGAAAAAACGGATGTTTTGATTCGGTTGACCATGCATACCGAGTTCTCCATGACGAAATCAAACATCAATCCAAAGAAAAGTTGTCGTCGTCCGGTACAGGGCTCTGAATCCAGTGCCTTGCAAACTGAAGACAAACATCTTCAAGCAGGTCACCCTGGATGACAAAGTAAGGATATGATTGTCTTCAGGGCGTCACAGCGGGGTGATAGAGTTTGAAGTCCGTGAAAACAGCCCGCCCACAACCAAGCTGAGTTCTTCTTTATCTATAGGCTGTCGCTCACGTTTCACCTCAAGCTGCAAAGTTGCATAAACATCAGCTTTGTCATCATCAATTCTCAAGTCAGGCGTTTATGGCATAGTCTTGCAAGGTTTGTTTGCCAAGAACCACCCGAAATACTACCTAAACAGTTCACATGATCTAGGCGAGATGGCACAACATTCAGTCAACATCGATGGGCACCATTCAATTGACATGGAAACACCGACCAAAAATGGCAGCATGTAGGA